TTAGCCTTTTTGGACTCAGAATGAATTTTGCTCCTACGTAGACCTTTGCCCTGCTTCCTTAACGCTTCCCCTAAATATAACCACAGCTCTCCTAGGTTCACCACTCCTATCTGCAATTGTTCCCAACTCTCGAGAGCGTCTTATGGTTGAATGCAATACCTGCCTTGTTTCGCTAGTTCGTCTGTAAATGCACCGTGCCAAAAGTGTTTGAAAATGCAAAGCGACGCTTAATTCACGGACTAGTTACACTTATATTATTTTAAAAATCTACCCAAAGTTTGGTATCATCAGGAAGGTAATAACGTAAGCTACTTTGTGAAATGGAAGAAATTTAATGAGAATTGTTATGAACATAGAAAAAATTTGCAATGAACGTCAGCGCGCGCTGTAATCATAATTTTGGCCCACCCTGTAAATATGTAGATTTGGAGCCGCGATAAACCAAACTCACAGATCCGCCATTACTTTTATCCACCACCATCAGATCAGCTGCTGAACTCCACTTTAAAGAATCAGCAAATTCCGAAAAGATTTCGTTCCCCTCTGTGCTTCTGAAGAGGAGGCTCTCGAACAGGCCTATAGCATTATGTCGGTTCCTTTTATTCCTCCAACAACCTACCGGTTAAGAATGGTTCCAAAATTCGTTATGATAGCATATTCGTCTAATTCCTGCTTAACTCGCCATATAATCGCCGTCCAGACACGATCGTAAATGCGCTGAAGAAGGTATGAAATGAAAATTAGTTGATCGCAGTTGATCAATCCATTTTCGAGATCTGTCCGACCATTTTACTTTCTTTCCGAATTGGTGGGGTACATGACCTACACAATGAATTGTTATGACCAGCCATTGTACAAGTTAATGATTTTCTCCGCCCAGACAACTCTGGTACCAACTAGCTGATCCCAGAGGTGTGAAAGGCTCAAACCGACTGCGTGTGTGTTACCCAATGGTTCAGGTCCCGGTCTAGTGGTATGAACGTGCGTTACTTGGCACTAACTATATCGATTCACTCTACAGTAACTTGTAAGAGCCCAAACCCTAAAGACTGTATTTGATTGAAGAGCTGTTACTCACCCTTCTCTCTCTTTTCTGGAAGAATGTTTTAATATCCTGATTCGATTTGATAAATTTGATACCCCTGGAGAGAGGCCCTTCCTCAAGGAAGTACGGCAGCTGAAATGTCTGGCATTCTTTCTCTAACGTCTACTTTAAAGTCTACTATTTTTCAAACCGAAAAGGCTAACTTTGTCCTTAAATTTCAAAGCGCTGTTGTCGGAAAAAATATTTTCTGCATAGGACTGAGAACGTAGTAGCAAAGCATGGAAACCAGCGTCCATGTAACCTCGGGCTACCTTTTCTGTCGTCATAATTTCTGAAATTGAAGGCTTCAAATGGTACATTCAGTTGTATAGTGTATAACCATAAAATGAACATAAGTGATTCTGATGATTCTCAAGAACAGCAGCTGATGACCTCGTCAATTATAAGAAAGATTTGGGTCCGTTTATACTAGCAGCTACAACGGACGTGGTGTGGTGGCAAGTGACGCACTATCACGCACGCAAAGGTCGATGCTCGTATATCGGATCGATATCTGCCCAGGCTGATCGTATATTCCATTACGCCGGGGGACGGCCAACTTGAACCAGACTCGTCTGGAAGGTTGCAAGCAATGACGTACATTGGCTGGCTACCCAATTCATTGTATAGGCCTCCTGTACAAATTCAAAAAGTCACCACGATTCTGGAATGGGAGTCGAATGCGAGGCGCAAACCTCAAAAGGGAATTGAAGGACGTCAGAGATTTTATTCTTCGAACTAAGAATCGGAGATAGCGTCTGAGTCAGTTTGAAAGAGAGGGAGAGGAACCCTTCAACAGATCTCCTACGCCGTACTTGATTATACGAAAAAGTCGTGTTTTTGAGGATGACCCTCTAGACCACTTTCTTTTACATTTTTTTCTTCCCAAATTTAACTAGGAGAAGAAGAGGGGACTTCTATTCTATTTCAGCTTCTTCTGACTAGGACTGACCCAGATTGACCCACGATTAGCCTTGGGATCCTCTACTAACCATATTACATACTTGCTATTGTTTGTGGGAGTCTTAGGAGGGATTGGTTCTTTGTCACATTGTAAAAGTGCTATAGATCGAATCTGGGATACGCCATGCATGTGTCATATGTTCGAAATCAGTCATTTTTAACATGAGCTTTCCTTCTGTAATAGGCTATGAGAAGAGAAGCCTGACTACTCATAGCCGCATCAGAAACCACAGCAGCTGTTCGTGGCGAAGGGTTCCCGAGGTGGCCTATCCTCTTGTAGAAGGAAAGAAATAATGTGTGACATTAAAAAAAACTTACGATGAACTACTCGAACGACGAAGGCCGAAATAGAAGAGGATGATATGTATATAGTTGCACCTCGTCCTCTACTGCACGGGAAATGCAGCTCGTATTTTGTATTATTAATTGGTATTGCACAGGATGAGGCATATTCTAAATCGAAGAGTACGGATCATCAATGTCTCATTATTATTTGAACACCCACCAAAAACGATGAATACATAAAGTTGATAAACAGACGGTTGTCAGCCATACTTCGTAAAGCCGAACATGAGGTTGGCCCTCTTTAGTTTTCTCGGGTTGTACTCCCATACAGCATCAGGTGTAACACTTTTCTGAGTCGTCAACGCGTCATCCCTGTGCGCGGTTGAGTCAAGGAGCGTTAAAGGCACCGTTCACATAATTTCGGGTAATCCAGATTATGATGAAAAATGGAAGACAAGATCGAAACTGGTGCGACTGAGGTGAAGAAACTGCGTGCATTGGTGTTTCCAAAGTGAAAAAAGGCTTCGAAAAAACGTTAAAATGGGGGCTGGACATGAATAAAACCAGAAAAATGAAGAAGTGTGGAGCGTCCGGACGAGCTAAATAGTGTGTTTCACTGCGAGCGTGTGGGTCCTGGTGCGAAGAACAGGCAATGGTAAGCAAAATTCATTCACTTATAAGCATATATAAACAAAAAAAACATTAGTACCAACAAAAGTAGCTCACCTTTTTCAGCCTCTAGGAGTGGGAAATTGAATAGGGGATCGCGGTAGCAAAAAGAAAAACAGAGGAAAAAAGAATGGGAGAAAAACATCGCCTCATCACTCGGCGATTAGCTGGTTGTGCGTGGGTCCTAGAACGAATAACAGCAATCTGTATTGTCTCGACACTCGTCTAACGTGACACCGATTGAGGGGCGGGCACGCGACCTACGGCAACAACGGAGCTGCCACTATGCCCTGGACGTCGAGATTGGGGGAGTGAGAGGGTCCTTTCTACAACCCATGGGGGCCGCTGAGTATTAATATTAATTATTAAGGTAAGTACTCAATAACTTTTTTATCGTGAACGGTGCCCTTAAGTTGCATGTGGTGAGCGTTTCATCTGGGCGGCCAGTTTTACAAGTGATCAATTCCCAAATAGCTAATCAAAACACTTAAAGCAGCAGTGAAGGGCACCACATTCCATTCACCCTTCCTCAGTTTCTCCACCTTCCATCTTCACGTTGTAGTCAATATGTCATGCCTTATAATCAGGGACATCCATGGTGTCATGCAGACATGGGAAGGGGTCTTCCTTCCCTCCATGGCGGTAAGAATGGACCCAGACGTGCTAAGCGTGCATGAAAAAGAAAACTTCTCTGCAAGAGAGCCCATAGTTACTTTATCCCTACAAATTTTGCCCGCACATTTATTACGTATTACACTTTAAAGACGATCACAGCCTTGTGCCATGTGCTTGACTTTTTTGGAGTTCCACCTTCATTTTCCATCTTCGCCTTTCCATTCCTAGTGGGGTTTCTCAAAAGTACAGTGCATGATATAGATGGTTTCTGAGATTGTTCTCTGGTAGGAAAGTGACCCCCCAAAGCACGAGCGAAGGCGTCTGGCCGAAAAACGGTCTGTGCTTACACACCTACAAGACGCGAGTTCGCACTTCGTTGTAGAGACTGGAGAACTTGCAGTGATTGCACCGTGACGCACGCATTGCAGGCGGACAGTTAACTGTGGTCAGTTGTGTGCAATGGCATACATATTCGGACAACTCGTCCATATACTCCTTTCATGCACCTTTTATTGCATTCTCGTCCAAACCCTGATTTACCCTTTTTTCTGAAGCCTTATATTGCTCCAAATACGCCGGTTTTCGCGTTTTCTTTGCCACTGTTCTGGGTTACCTCTTCCAGTAATCATCTGGAGCTATTACCCCAAGAATTACTGTGAACTGTGCCTTTGAACACTCGGTAGTACTTTAGTCTTCTACCACTTCATCTCACTAATGTTTTTAATAAATCGAAGATTTTATCGAGGATTTCTGTCCCAGTCTTCCTTTTCGAGCCCCATGACTATGATCTATCCTGAATTGATCATCTGTCGGCGAATAGCATAAATATGAAAGTTTTATCGAGAATCAGAATTATTTGAGCTTACTTATTAGTTTATAGTTCCGACCATGTGGCTTAAGTGTAGTTTCAAGCAAGGGTGGCTTCCATGTAGTTTCATCCAGTTTAATGTTCTTCCTGAAAGAAAGATGTTACAATTTCGTAGACAGGGTGTGATCAAGGTTCTTTGGGAGGGGATTGCGAGCATGACAGGCAACCAGTTGTGACTTAGTGTTGTGACACTTTTCTCGGGTCATAGGTCAGCTAAAATGGAGGATTCCTTCGCGAACAGGGCCCAGTAGTCTTGGTCAATACGCTTCATTGTATTACTGTATTTTAATGTATTTTCTCAAAGCTCATGGGACTTAATGGGAATATCTTGTTTAGCTCAGTGTGGCATTGATCTGAAATCCGATTCCCTCAACATGCATGTGGTAGCGGGCCAGTTGGTTTCACTCCTCCTCCGACATTCCCAAAGAAATCTTTACAAAGTTGCCAGTCGAGGTCTGATGCATCAATAACCTGACGCTAAGCGAATCATCTGGCGACAAGGTGTTAGCAGAACAGAGCATGAACCTTTTTCGACTCGCACGATAATCGGGATGGTGTGTACCTGATGGGCTAGACAACGACGCTAAGTCATCATTGGTGGCCTCGCAGTAACAAACTCGTCTGGGCACATACAGTAGCGCTCAAAAGTCTTCGATGAAATGCTTTGTCGCTTCTTCGTTCATAATTTTTGTCTTAGTAGACCAGATCGCGCGAATTTCGGATATGTTTAACTAGAGCATATTTCACCCTACCCAACATTATTCGACTGCGAAGCTGCAATATGTACATTTAGAGCAAGGGGTTTGTTGCGGTAGTAGATTTTGCCGAAAATAAAGTTGTTGTCGTCTGTACTAACTCGCACCTTATGTGCGTTTTCCTCATCTATTGTGCTCGGCATTACCGCTCGTACACTTTAGACATGACAGAAAGGAAAGGGGATCCAGAAGGACCATCATCTGTATTTTCAGTTAATTTTGAGTTCATGCTCTTTGGAATATCTGGAACATGATGAGATTGCAGGTCAATAGTGGTAAATATTCACAATACACCCACGCTCCAAATGTAGAAATTTCGCATGACTAGATCCAGTAGGAAAGGAATTACGGCTGGAAAGTACGGCTGAACGATCATTTCGCCGAAGACTTTTTAGCGCTACTGTAGGTAAAATAGATCCGAAAGGAACAGGTATACAGGGTGACCTACATGAAGTGTGACGGGCATTAAAAAAATCAACTTATGGGCTTCTGGGCTGGAGGATGCGGTGATCCCTTGGGCGGAAAGGAACGCGATGAAAGTCAGCTAAACCTTTCCCAGGATTGGGCACCAGCCCACAGCGCAAAGAAGATGCTGCATTGTTGTTGCGAAACCACGCTTCCAGGTTTTTGGGGCGGGGCAGCTTTGACTTTGAAATTCCCCGGTCTCAATCCTGTGGATTTTGTTGAATCAACGATTCTGGACCAAAAAGCCTCTGCTTTCAGACACAGGTCTTTGGAACCTCTGAAAAAAAGCTCTCTTCTAGAAGCGGGGGATGAAAACGATTGCGCGTATTCTTGAAAACTTCCGGAAGAGATTGGATGCGTGCATTAAGGCGAAATATTGTCATTGTGCTTGCGAAATGTGATATGTTGTTTGCAATTTTGTGATGATTGTATAGGAGTAAATGTTTCCTATTTGGTTTGATTTGTATAATTTTGATGCTAGTTTTCTGCGTCACACTTTATATGGGTCATCCGCAGCTTTTCATAACTTTCAATAGATGATATCGTTGGCCACCTGAGCTCTTTGAAGAATACTCACGATTTAGATTCAGTGGAATAATTAGTGTAAGCAGGCATGATGTCAAGAGAGAGTTTTGGTCGTCGAAACTGCCGTACGAAGTCCTTTCTTTGAAAGTTGAAGCTCTTAAGCTTCTCTATCCAACTCTGAAATTTAAAAAAGCAGGGTATAGAAAGGTATAGAAAAGGTTAGGTATAGAAAATGATTAGGTATGAACAGGAATTTCCCTAAGGTGAGTCCAGCTACTACTGAAGCCCTTCCACCTGATGGCCGTTGAGAAAGGTGGAAAGTAGCTAGGGTGAAAGTGAAGGGCACATGCGGGCGGGGATCAAATTCTTGCCTTATTTCTAGTCATTCATGGATTCCAAAGGTGACAAGCTGACTGTTATCTGAAATTTGAAAATGGTCCTGAGTATAGCTTGACAGCCTTCCGATGATCTCATCCGCCCCTGGGGGCAAGGGGTGAACGCCGACCCACGTCTAGCTCTCTCCTTACAGCCTAGTCAGGAACCACTTAGAGATTCATGGAGTGCAGCTTCTATGCTTCTGAATCTTCTAGAATTCCTCAACAAGAATTTAAGCGAACCGAAACCCTTCCGTCTTTACTCCATCCTGTCTCTAAAGTTCCATTCAAATTCCATTTGAATAACCAGTTCCTGACTGCAGTTTCATTAAACTCATTGGCCATCCATATTGCATACAGTGGTGATTGATCCAAAGATTCATTAACCCTCACAAAGCTTCGCATCCATCTGAACTGACTCCTAAAAATGCAGCTTAACCCGTCTTCAAGTGATAGTTTCGTAATGAATTCTTTTTAAGCCCACTCACCGTAATCCACACTCGAAGCTCGGTGTTTTAACGCATACAGACGCTTCGAAACGATCAAAGATTTTGTTTCTATAGCTTTCAGCCTAAAGTAATAGAGGATGATGTCCCCGTTGTTAACCAATGCCGTTAAGCCACGCGTTAGACTTGTTATCTGGATCGTCACCGTATTTGCTGCATGTCGATGAAGTCTATGTTTTTGCCGCTATCAGGACACTTTGTTACTCTTCAGAAAGGGTGGGGAAGGGGGGGGGAGGAGGGAGGTCAAATGATTTGGGTTCTATCTCCTACTTGCCTCTGCCTATCCCACCACGGGTTTCGAAGGCTCCTCGAAAAACAAAGCTTTCTGCAAATTATTCAATCTATATACTTCCCTTCATGAAATGGGCCAATTCTTACCTTGGATCCACTTTTCTGGCTTCCATTCCTCCTTACCAGCGGCAATAAAGGAAACAGGCCTCACCTACTGTTCAAACAATTTCAAGGTGCAGCCAGAAATTGAGAGTGTCTCCGTAATAGTCAATTCTACGGTTCAAATTGGATTTTATTCCGGCTTTTGAAGTCGGACCTTAAAGTATTCGTTGGAAGTTTCGCTCACCAGCGAAATTCGTCCTTGAGTATAGTGGAATAAGGACGATATGGGTACTGAGCTGTTTACTTCTTCCGGATTTGTGGTAAGCAAGTTAATGTGCTGAAGGCATTGCAGTCCAATCCACATTTGATACGATACAATCCCAAATTTCAATCCAGCCTCTCTGGAAAAGTCTTATAAGCGATAAGAGGACAAGAATTTGAAAAATGGCGGACTGGTCATTCCCAATTTGTAATGCGCCTATGGTCTCGACTCCTACTCATACTCATAAAGATTTTCATTAATTTGGTCCATGCAATAATCGGGCATTGGGCAGGGGGAGTGGTAAACAGTGTAGAAATAACATTTTGCCTTCCCAGATGGAATTGTTACCGATGAGCCGTCTCCAGAGTCGCTTTGCACGAGCTGGTATCGGACCCGAGACTCGATCCTCGGACCGTAGGTGGTGTAGAGTTCCCATCATTTGATGGTTTCCCAGACGCAAAGGGGGTCAGGCCGTGTAGGCAAATTCCCAGTTATAATGACTCCACTGCATCCTATACCCGAAAGCTGAAAGTGAGCCCAGAAGAGACCCAAGCCATTCAGTTTGTAGAATCCAACGGTTATAGGTGCACTGAACGATCATCATAAGCGAAATTATTCAAAAAAACTCCTTTGCTTTCTCAATAGCAATTGGCCTTTCATCCGTAAAATTACATTCGAACGAATCTTTTTCAAGCGAGATCTCACTTCATCAGAAGGCTGCAGTCCAAGTTATCAGAAAGAATTTGCATTACAGCTCTTGAAGTTTCGTATGACTGCGTAACACGTTGCTCAAACTGAAAAATATGTACGGTCCAAAATTTGTTTCACAAAAAAATTCCAAAAAATTTCTGACTAAAAAAAGTTCATACAAATTTTTGTCAGTTTTCTTTGCCATTTGAAAAATGGCCTTTTTACCTATTTGGATGAAATCAACCCATTTTAAGGTGACTGAAGGAGCGAGGTAGGCAAAGCTAATCGTCGTTCATACTTTTTCGAAAAGCTTTAGATATTCATCTGCCACCCAGGATCCCAGAGAGTCCTGTACTTGTATGGTCTTATGGTGGCAAGCTGATGTACAGTAGAATCTACTTCGGCCACTTTCACTCTCTCGGGGAACCGAGAAAACTGGCAGGCTTAGAAGATTCGGGCGAAACTCGCTCGGGAATTAAACCTCCCTATCGTACGTGTGGTAACGCCCCCACTTGCCCTTAGCCTATTTCCTACTGTTTTTTTTTTTTGAAGGCCTTTGCTTATTCGCTATATAACATCACTCCCCGGGAAATGAGAGGGGTGGGCGAGCTGGCTACGACGATTGTATTCTAACTGCAAGGTGCCTTCTAGGTACCCGATACCCAAGAGAAATGTCCCTGTGATCGTTTGAGCTTAAACTACTTGAATAACTGAGCGAAAGTTCAAGAATGTGAAATAACTTACTCCAGTTTCCTCCTTGTGTGAAGTAAACGAAAGAATGTAGAATAACAAACAGTCGACGGCAAAAATTACGACGAGAAAGTTGCAAATCAACCTGTGACAAGTTGATGAAGGCTTAAGAGGGTTCAGTGTAAGGTAGTACCAAATCCTCACAAGGTTGGCGATTTATGGGCAAAACTCCAGTCTCGGACGGGACTCGAACCCGCACTTGTCCTTTCCGGGGACCGTGCTCTTATCCCTTACACTAACGAGACCCCGCTTGCCCTCGCCTTCTTAATGGCTTATGTATAGTAGTACCAAATCCAGTTGGGATCTGGTTAGTCGGATCTATCCAGAATGATCTAATGTCGTCTTTTTTTCTTTTTTTGAAACTGGTAGCATCTCACACATGGGGGCCAGCCGTCGAAGGTCTCACCTCCTCCCTCCGCTTGATATCCAGCTACTCATCAATCCATTCGTCATTCCTCCCTCCAGCCCCCCATCTCCCCCTCCACTCCGAAGAGCGCAGCTCTTTCGAACTTTTTAGAATTTCAAGGGTGGNTAAAAACGGTGAACGGTTCGTTCGGCCATGAAAACGGTAAAGGGCTTGCTCGGTCATGAGTTAAAGGCAGAGTTCACGATGATTTTGGGGTGCCCATTTTTATTCAAAAAGCGGAATCATAGGTCGGGAATAGTTCACCGATAGTGAAAAAAGCGAGAAAGTTCGTCGACTTCGGGAAGAACAAGGCTCCCTAAAAGTATGGGAAATAGCGGTCGGACGAGTTTACCATCATTGAAGGGGTATTCGGGCGAGATTTCAGTTGCTGCAAAAACGCAAGGCGCTGACTGCATCAAGCCAGCACTGTACAAAACTGCCTTTCACTGTCGCTATGGTCATGACAACTTGTTTGAACTTTCTACATGGGTTCCCTTGTGTTCAGTGCAGCCTCTACAGTGCCGGTGAAACTGTTCGAGGATACATAAGTGACAATATTCGAGCNCGAGCCGATGCTAATTCGCTCGGTTCACTTTCCAAAGCTCCATATTCACTAGATCGCGCTGAAAATGTGCCCACGTTAACATCGTGGTTAGTATAGCTGACAGATCAACGACATAAACTCTCAGCATTTTCTGGGCCCTAAACTTGAGGATAAGGAGGTAGCCATCGTTGTAGAGGTGTGGACAAATCCATTCGATGCCTCAGAGTGCTCCCCACGAAACGATTCGGCAGGGAAATATTCTGTGAGCTATTTTCCTGGGTTTTTTCTTCTGTCCTGTTTCCTCCTTCTTCAATTCCGCTCTCTTTCTTCTCATTCGCTCTCTCTTCCCGAAATATAAGCGAATGATAGATCGCTGTTTTGATTTCTAGCCTTTGTTGGTCGATTGCCTCGGAACTCTTTGATTTTGCCTCGTGTAGGTTCTTTCCCGGGACGAGTTACCGGCATTCACTTTACGCCAATACATAATGCTGGCTGCGAGTGAGAAAGTAGGCTCTTTCCTTCTCGCTACTATACTCATGCGCATTTAACACATGGAACAACCGTAGTGATGCAGCAGGCGGGACAACTAACTAAAATATTCAACCAAGGCATAGTACGAGGCGGGACAACTAGCTAGGAATCGCCATGCGCTGTTAGCCAATTGAGCACAAGCCCATACACCTCAAAACTAACCTCACCCCTATGTCGGAGCTGAGCTCAATCAGTCTGTGTATCCATTTTGATAACATTTTAAAAAAACAATAGTATCGATATAAACTCACATCTTCTTCTGTATGGTCTGTATGTTCCATGGGATGAGGACGTATAGCCTTCATGACTGTCTATAAATTGAAAGAATATGAGGCAATGGCAAGTGATCGTAAATATCACAAGGTTGAAAGCTGAAGTGTTTTGTTTGGATCAGTCTTTGGCCTCTTTGTGGTGCATCTTATTCAAAATCGTAGAAGTTAGAATATGTACAACGGATGCATAACTTCTACGGCTATGGCCAGATCTTGGGTTGATCGACCTGGGCAAGAACCGATCTGGGCTCGATCTCTGGACCATGCCTGTGTGAAAGTTTACCAATAGAGAGTGCATTTTCAGGGAACTTATTCACGTTTAGGAGATGATATTATTTCGTAACAAAAAATCGATAATCGATCAAAGGTCAGTACGGGGATATCTACATCGTTTAGGCCGTAAGTGAGCCCCACTTAGTTGCGCCTTTTAGACTAAAAACGACCTATTAGGGCAGTGGAATTGGAATCCAATGGTGTATTTTAGAAAAGGGTGGTTCCAGTTGGGATCTAAATCGGAATCTTTGTGGAACGCCTACACGTACAGGCGCTAGATCTAAAACTCATCCAAAGTTCGAGTTTTTGATTGAACTGCCTGTCTCCAATAGTTCGGCCATATGGAGTAACTCGGACATGACTGATTTCCTTCAATTCCTCTGCGCTTACATGATCCTCTTCTCTTCCTCAATTCTTCCTTGTGGTAGATTTGACCGACCTTCTTCTTTTCGACTTTCGGTTCAACTAAATTTTGAGATTCTGTAAGCATGAGTAGAAAAGGAACTTTTGTGACATCCTGGAAAGTATTTAGACTCTAGTATTCCATTAACAAGAGGGATGCTGGCATGACTTGAATGGCATCTTGAAGGGCCAAACTCTGTGCGACAGTAATGGCCAGGAGGTGTTTGAACATAGACATATAAGTTTTCTTTACCCCTTGCTTTTGTTTGGAAACATTTTTCCAACAATTTCCTTTTATATGCGTTTGCACGCATATGCCCACATTACTCCTGCGATCCGGGCGCCATTGCTGATCGACTTGGGTAAGTCTTACTTGCCCTAACCACCATGATAACCGCTTAAGTTGGACAAAAAGGTGATGGGTAACGGTAATATCAGGTAGGGATGCCCTGTGTGCAATGAGCTACTTGGAATGGAACGGTATCACATGAATATGTGGTACCGTTCCATTCCAAGTAGCTCATTGCACACAGGTGGTTGTGATGCAGCCGAACTTGGCTCCTCTGAAATCAGTAGGTTAATACCCTACAATACAATACAATACAATATTATGTCTGCTGATCCAGATCTTCGATCGATGACAGCCACCTTTACGGAAGGGTCTTCTTGTTGGCTTATTCCAAAGTGATTCAGCCAAATCAATCGCACTCACCTGAGCTAGTTTGTCTAGAAGACCTTGCAGAGACCCAAGAACTCCTCCTGCTAGACATTTCCGCCAATCCGTAGGAATAAGAGCAGTTTTCTGAAGTCTCTCGGTGAAGCTTGATCCTGAATGAAACTGCTTTCCCCCTCTTGCCGCCAGGTACGGCAGAAGCTGTGGAATCACACGGGCGGTATCACGATCGTCTTTACTTTGTGATCATGAGTGGAGGTTGACTCACCTTCTTGTAGAACGTAGAGGTAAGGAGTGCGACCATCCCGAGGGCTGCTAACTGCAGGTATCATTGAAGGTGGCGATAAGCCATAATGATAGGGTATACAGTTTCTCGCTCTGTTTACCATCAGTTCCTCCTATTGAACTCAGAAGATAAAGAACGGTCAGACTATAAATTTGTAGAGCACAGAGGTTGTGCATGAATAGAATTTGTTATTAGTTGGAACGATTTACACCACAACAGTGAGTCCCGGCAGAATGGGGCATCGATCTGAGTAGTTGCATCATTCCGGTCATTATTCCCTCAGCTCTTCAGGACCGAACTCTCAACAGTGCTAGTTTGTTCATGTGTGATCCTAATTTACTCATTGTGTAGATTCCCCTCAATCTAGTTAAGATTGAATGACACAGTTCAATAATAATATTTTCACGTTCAAATACACATTCATTTCCTACTTCGGCCCTAACTAGAAATCAAACTGGAACTATACTAAAAACGGTGAACGGTTCGTTCGGCCATGAAAACGGTAAAGGGCTTGCTCGGTCATGAGTTAAAGGCAGAGTTCACGATAATTTTGGGGTTCCCTAATCAAGGCTCCCTAATAGTAGGAGAAATAGCGGTTGGACGAGTTTACCATCATGGAAGGGGTATTCGGACAAGATTTCAGTTGTTGCAAAAGCGCAAGGCGCTGACTTCCTCCAGCCAGAACTGTACAAAACTGCATTTCACTGTCGCTATGGGTCATGACAAGTTGTTTGAAATTCCTACATGGGTTCCCTTGTGATCAGTGCAGCCTCTACAATGCCGGTGAAACTGTTCGAGGATACATAAGTGACAACATTCGAGCCTTTACAACGACCTGACTAGGCTGTTTTCCGACCTAATAGCGCCATATATGGTATACGAGGTACCTCGATTTCATCCTGTTAGAAAATCTCAGAAACCATTTTTATCGTGAACTTTGCCTCTAAATTTTCGTTGTTCAAGAGCACAGTCTTCGATTAAAATGATTAAGGAGATTGCTAAGGTTCTATTACCTAAGAAAAGTCTACGCAGTTCTTTGCCATGTCGAAAGGCGGCCCAGATGGGGCACAATAAGGGCTGACAAACAGTCGCAACCTCCCTTCCGATCAATGCGCCCAATGAAGGTGGGTCTAGCGGCCTCTTTAGGATTGGTCTTATTCAAAATGGAGTTGGAACATTTAGTTTCGAACGGAATTGTACTCTTATGCGAGCACCGTACTTTCGAACACTTTGTAGGGCCGTGAAATTATCTCTTCGAGATCTCGAGGAAGGATACATGATATCTCAGTCGTATGGAGGTAAAGACTTTTGGCAGAACTGGCAAAACCAAATTCGGAACTGAGTTATGAACCGAGACTGTAAATGCTTATAAAAGGCCTACGGGATAATAGTTAAATGATTATTGTTTTTTTTNNTTTTTTTTCATTATCCTTTGTCTGTGTCTTCAAAAACTGGCCATGCTCAAATATCTTGTTAAAACTTTATTAAATTTTCTGAGAAATTCTACGGTAATTGTTATTTGGATACACGACAACGGCAACAATAACAACAACAATAAATAATAGCAATGCTAGTAGCCGACAGCATAGTTGAAATCAGGGTCACGATCATCTGTAGCAGCAGTCAGAACGCCATTTATCGAACGACGTCTGATAGCCATGACGATGCGGTCTCGAGCTTCCAAATCTTCAGCAGGCACTCTCCTACAGCTCGTAATCTGAAAGAGTAGCACTCTTATATACTGTCTGTAAAATGCCCTTGTTTGCTGTCAAACATGGGAATAGTAAAAAGGAGGACGACAAGAAAGAGGGCACGCGGGTATCAATCTATTCCCGGTGCCGACCCTCCTTAAACACAGCACGGGGAGTAACAAGCTCACCGTCAGTAAAATGGACCATCTAAAATGATGAAGTCTTTGGCCTCAATTAATCCCATCTTTGGAATGCGCCTCCACTCGACTTCCATTCGGAATCGTTGTGGCGTCTTGAATGCGTATGTAGCCCATAGAATGATTTACGGTGGCCAGCTGATGTATGAGTCAGTGCTTTTATCCTCCCAGACGAGTCGGTACCGATTGACCGACCCCGGAGAGATGCTAGGTTGGCTCAAAAGGGTATCCTTGTGAAATGATATGCCTTATCAATACAAGTGACAGTGCCCTACTCGGCACTACTCCACCTTGGCTGTTTATTCACTTAGGGGTCCAATCATATCAAAGTATAAAACTCTGAGTAACAACGAAGTATCCGTTGCTCACCTTACACCCTTTATCACAGTAGCATTTTTCATCGCGGTAATCATGGTAAACAGAAGGTGCACAAACGGCTGCGCCTGGATCTTCATCGAGCCATAACATACGAAGAATCGTTGTGGAGACCGCTTCTACAGTACGCACTGAACCAGATGCTGTCGCTGCCATAATTAGCTGAAACACTCATGAACAGCTTAAATCGGAACGGACCAGTCTTTCCCCGTGCGGAAGAAAAGGTCTATCTATTGTACTAGGGACACTCCTCCCCGAAATCGAGAAGATCAGTTCTACACTAACAAAAAAAAGTCGAGTTAGTCTCTGTTATAAAAATTTGGTTCTACAGGGTAGCCTATGGACAGTCGAAGATAATTTTCGTTTCTCCGTTTCTTCTGATGATTGCTATCCCATTACCTGTAAAGGAGCTCCGTCGAATTTCTTGCGCATCATGACTAGACCGGCTGATGAGGATACCGGATTACTTCGTTCTGTGCCTAATGTTATATGAAAGGGCGAAATAGCATCATGATCCGGGTCGGAATCGGACCTGAATAATAGTCTGAAGTGTTCCGATATTTCCCACTATCATCTCGCAGCTATTGTTCAATCTAATGGTNAAGATCAGTTCTACTCTAACAAAAAAAAGTCGAGTTAGTCTCTGTTATAAAAATTTGGTTCTACAAGGAGCCTGTGGACAGCGTTCAAAGATAATTTTCGTTTCTCCGTTTCTTCTGATGATTGCTTTCCCATTACCTGTAAAGGAGCTCCGTCGAATTTCTTGCGCATGATTACCAGACCGGCTGAAGAGGATACTGGATTACTTCGTTCTGTGCCTAATGTTATATGAAAGGGCGAAATAGCATCATGATCCGGGTCGGAATCGGACCTGAATAATAGTCTGAAGTGTTCCGATATTTCACACTATCATCTCGTAGCTATTGTTCAATCTAATGGTAATTCGAACTGAGCTAAGTCAGCAAAAGCTAACACACCCATTGAATTCAGCTTCTCTTCCAGTTAGTTACGAATTCTCAGTAGGTTCCTGCCAGCGATTAGAACTGCATAGAAACCCATGTGGGAAGTCGTAGTAATAGACACCTCATGGGTGGAAGCAGCATACATAGTGCAGCTAGAGAGCCCATGTTTCAATCGGACTGTGCCGAATCCAGTCCAGCCAATCAGATCGAAAGGTGAATGCGTACCCATACTTTTATGGGTACCCACATCTCATTTTCAACACTCCTACTTATAACCCCTTGTTTTGGCCTCACAACCCGAGTCGCTCGACAGAAACACAAAAATGACTCCTGTCATCTTCTTGGAACCGATTAGAACTTACGGTTGAGCCAGGCCAAGATCCAACATCGTGAAAAAATCACTACCGTTAGCGAAATGCCAATATAGCATCGAAGAGACTCTATCCGGTTTCTCCTAAAAGAATAGTGATTGTATAAATCGAATCGTGTATCCATTTTGTCGAAAACTCCTAATCATTTTCAGATTCATCAGATGTAGAAGTCCAAAAGCAGTGTATTCAATTTTAAATTTCTACCGTAGGTCCATTTCTGAGCCAGGAGTAACGTAGTCCTCCTGTGGTTGGCCTTCAAAGGTGAGTCTGGGTCCTTCACTAACATGTGCATACTGCTTACATAAGCAATAACTAAATAACCCCACAAAAATTCACTCATACCAGTTTCTGAATTGATACTTCAAATACGGGCGGAGGTGGAGCTGTGGTAAGTGGCGCTAGGATACGCGCTTGGTCCAGAATCGCATCCCTGGGGAGTATCCTATTACGTCAAACCAGCCCTCAATCCTTCTGGGGTCGGTTAGTCGGTGCCAGGCTCGTCTGGAAGGATAGAAGCACTGACTTGTAAGTCGCTTAGCCACCGCAAATCATTGTAAACCCACACAGACCTTAAAAACGTCCCTACGATTTCGAATGAAACTCGAGTGCGGGGACTCATGATCTAAATGGGATTGATTAACGTCAGAGGTTACAACTATGACCTTTTAAGTCTTCGAATCCATCTCTATACTCACCCGTCTGACGCGATATGAAAGCTGATGTTCAACCTTGTCATAGAGAAGGCGTGCTGCCTTCTCCAACGTTGCTCTACTCAGTAATGAGTTTCTCTGAAACTTCAAAAAGTTGGCCAAGAACGAACTACAATATCGGCTTGCTTTGGAAAACTATTATTGCTTAGTAAACAATTACAAATTGTGAATTTGAATATTATTTTGTCATTGTTGGACGGCTTTGCATCTGTTTTGACTTTCATTTCATTTGAATAATATTTATTCGCAACATCATAGAGCATGATTTACACATTTTGAAGGCTTGTTAGAAATTATAATTACCAATTCAATGAAAAGTAATTATACAATTTTCTGGTATAAAACAAAGTCACACAGTTTCCAAAAACCGATTTGACCACCCGCCTTTCCCACACACACACCCCGCACCATGAGGGCTGTTGTTTATTGATTTTCTGGAGATTCTGTCATTGTTTACTTGCTGTCTAATCCACCGATGTTTTGTCACTTTCGGTTCTACATTATCAGAGCTCCATCAACTATTTGTAGAGGCTGCTTGTCGGGCATTCAGCCTGTGTGACTCCTACTTTCGAAGGCAAAGTTAATGACGATTTGGGTACAGGTGAAGAATGGAGCCATGCCAGTAACCATTACACTAGAATTAGGTATGTTTATTCTCAATTCAGTCTTTTTCCCTTTGTCTGTCTCCCGTAGGGGTGGGCAACTGAGCTGGTTTGAGCGATCTGATTATATCAAGAGATATATCTCTAAGCCATGTGGGTGATGCCGGCACGGTCAGGCCCCTCAAATGAATTCTTTTGTTCATCTACAAAATCTCTATAGCAAAACAGTCACTAACACTTGCATTGCCATTCCATTCTCTCGATTCAGTGAACAGGGCATAGGCAAGACGTTGAGATCGTAGCATCACGTCGTATAAAGTATTTTCACTACGTGAATCTAATTCGTACATTACACCTAAAAATACGACTTTTCTAACCGACATCATCGACAAAAATGATTAAAAAGTTGAAATTGAAGTCGGTGGATAACTGTGGATAAATCTGTACCGTTGACATTGTCTTCCTTTCTAACCTTTCTTGGACTTGGTGGGAAATTTGCATAGGTCATCCATATGGGCACAACACGACCTAGGTGGTTCCTCGGTGATGATGAAGCCTTCGATGGGATTCCATCATGCTCTTGCTTTTCCCGGTCTCCGCGCCATTCCCCATTGCACTACTGGCACCTCCCGGGCGGGGTTTCTCTGCTTGCTGTGCTTGCTCCCAATGGAGGCCTAGAATTATACTTTCCGGATCATTGACAACAAAGTGTTTGTCCCTAGGATTAGTAACAAGTCAGGGTTCAAATGGTTACTATGGTGCTCCACACCGACACTAGTTTTTTCAAACCATTTTTTGGGGCTATTTATTTTTGTTTACCATTGTACAGCTACTTAAAAACATATTGCCGAAGAGACAGTGCTTGAATTCAGTATCGCTTACAATAAGTAGTGTAAACAACGAATGCAGAAAAAATCGATGACGTTGTTTGATTTTTACGATACGGTATGTAAACGAGTAGCTTCTCTTCACCACCTCTGATCTTGGGAAAAGCTAGCACAAGCATGTGTTGAGTAGCGCCATCTGAATTCGATNTTAGAACTTCAAAAAATAAAATAAAAAATAAAATAAAAATAAAATAAATGATTCAGAGAAGAAGATATTTGCAATTTTGCTGAAAAACAGAAAGCCAGCAGGTATTGGCGTTGAACCTTGAAATGGGTCCAGTAGATTGATCTAGAGGTAGAGGCATTTCGTGGCTGATGACGCCATCGAACCCTCGAAACTCTACCAAACTCTGCTGAGGCCAATTATATCTTCATGAAAAGATACCAAACGCTTCTCAGTAAATTGGATTCTTCCTTGGGAAGTTGGCCTTTATGACGCTTCGAATGGTTTTCTTCCCATTCATGGAGACCCAAGAACTTTTTGCATATTCCCGTAACAGTTTTTGGGTAGGAATTAACAGGGTCAGGGAACCCAAGGGTTTGGTTAAAGTTCGAAAAACGCTGGTGGTGACTGAACAATTGTAGCCTCCAGCTCTCATTCCAACAGTCGCGTTGCAAACGCGCGCATCCATTCTAGAGAAAAGTTCCTCTTGACAATAGGGAGTGTACTGTACCGTAAGTAACTGGAATACTGTAATTTTTTGAGTTTTTCAAATTTAAATGATACAGATGTTGGTTTTAGGTGGCCAAGGAGGGCATACATGAGTCGATGAAGATAACGAATTCAATGGAGACATTTTCTTTGACCAGTAGCGCCCCAACAACTTTTCAAACTCCAGTAACAAAACGTGAGTTTTCTTTTGATAGCGCTATTTTTCAAAATTCCATTTGAAAAAAAAATATTTCGTAAACGGACCTTTGCTGTAGGGTTGTCGTGCTTTGAAAAAATTGTTGTATATTTCGGAAATATCTGATTTTCTCAGTTTTATTCTGGTGCTATTCAACATTTGATGAAGAGAACTAAAAGTAAAAATTGTTAGCTTAAGAGATTGGATCAAGAGATTAGGAGATTAAAGTGAAAAATATAGGAATTTACTCGAAGCCTCGTTGTTTGGCAATAAACTCTGCTTTTTCTTCCTTGCCCTTCGGTATCTTTTTCAAAAAAGTTTTCAATTTGATTGGCATTTCAAATATACGCTGAAATGGAGGGCACATATTTGGAGAAGAGTTCAGAAAACATTTTTCATGCAGCAGTTTTAGCCAACTTTTAAACTTTGCTCTTTAGTCTACAGCTATGTACACCGCCTCCTTATTGAAATAGAATTTTTTCACGGGAAAGGAACGTTTGCCAAATTCAAGGTAATTATTATATGATGGCAAGTATCGTTGGATTAACCTCATCGGATTGAGAATGTGATGAAGCTGGACCGGAATGATCCACTCTAAGCCAATTTCTTCTGAATTCACTGATGTCAATTGGGGAAGCATTCAAAAATGTCCTCATCTTGTTTGACATGGATCCTGACGATGATTCCACGAGCCCATCCATGTATGAAATCATATTTCTGAAATAAAAGATGGATACCCTGGACGAACATCAATAATAATTTGCTTATTTCCACTACATTTATCAAAAGCGTTGTTTGTCTGTTCGCCTGCTTATCTCAAAGCCAGGCTATCTAAACTTAGACTGCTTTGAACGTTTGAACTAGATTTGGACTCGACATTTTTNTTTTTGAGGATTAGAAACTGTTTCCTTATTTCTTGTTTCCTGAAGTCCCTTGGAAAGGATGGCTACTGTACAACCAGAAGGAGTTCCGGATGGAAGTTGTAAAGGGTATGCTCTGGGCTGCACGAGAAATTTCGCCATACCTGGTCCCATCAGGTTTTGATTTTCACCACTCTGGGTTCGAATCAGCCAGGAAACTCACTGCTTTGAACAGCTTTTCTTCGTACACCTCTTGCGGAGGAATCCATCAATATAGCTCCTTGCCTAAAAAGGTTGGTACTTATTCGCCCATCTTTTCACTTGTCGTAGACATCGTAATTAGTGGGATGATGTGAGGGAACCTTCATTGAAGTAATTCAACTGAACAAATTCAAAGGAGTCCGAGGCAGAGCATTGGGAGTTAGTCGGCACTGATGGACTTTGTCCCTGCCCCTATCTACAATGCCTAATATACCATGATTTTCAACAAACTTCCATATACAATTCGCTAGGGAGGTTCGTGAAGCACTATAGTATCCGTATGTAACCGTCGTTCCTAATCCGATGTCGACATAGCTGTTTTCTCAATGAAATGAAAACCCAAACGCCTCCGCAAATAACGATCGTTTCCAGAGAGTTGCTTTCTTTTCTACTCATCACATAATCCTTTCATTGCTAAAAATAGTCTTACCCGTTGTTCTCGATGTTGATAATAGTGGAAAAGTGCTGATATCGATGAAGCATTCGAAACGGAATACGGTGCCATCGTTGACAGACAGGCAATGGCGTATAGAACCAGATGTTCGTCTTGTAAGCGTCTCATGCTGAGTTCTCTGAGAGGGACTTGGTATTTATAACTCTTGTTCTCAAAACGACTGACTTCAATTGTTGGTTTGTAGGATCCATAGCTCCGACCCTGCGTATGATCTCCTGGCCGAAAAAACCCTGTAGTTGGTCATGGGAGTTTGTTACCAGAACATATCCAGTGATCTGTACCGCCTCTTGTAACCATAAGACGTGTGTACCTACTTGTGTAATTATTCGACCTCCCACTTGCTACAATAAATCTTCCCCTCCCTACTGCTGACACAATTCTACAATAAGCTTGAGGCACAGAATATTCTGAAGTACTTTTTTTAGTAAAATAATGGAAACTTCGGTGCAGAGTAGTGCAAGGGTGGCGAAGAAAGTGCCAATATTGTTGGATTTAGAAAAATATAAGCAAGGAATAGTAAGGAAGGGTTTGTACAGGACGGCCATCTGGGTGTCTCTCATTTCAGCGTACTATTCGTCTCATCCTGTGAACAGTATCGTAATAACAAGGCCGGCATAAAACAGCCCACTCCTCAAAGGCACAGCTCACGATAATTCAATGGGTGGGAACGTTATTGGCTTTCCCGCCCCACGATCGATGTCACGCCATCACGTCAGACGAGTGTCGAGACAATACAGATTGCAACTATTCGTTCTAGGACCCACACACAGTCAGCTGGTCGCCGAATGGTTATTCTTTTTGCTGCCGCGGTCCCTTATTCAATTTCCTACTCCTAGAGACTAGAGATGTGAGCTACTTTTGCTGTTGTTAAGGTTTTTTTGTTTTGCTTATGCTTATAAGTGAATTTATGCTCACCGTCGTCTGTTATTCGTTCCAGGACCTACACGCACGCAGTGAGACACAATGTATAGCTCGTCCAAACGCCCCACGCTTCTTCAATTTTCTGGTCTCATTCTCGTTCAGCCCCCTTTTTAACGGTTTTTCAAGCCTTTTTCACTTTGGAAACACCGACTCACGCAGTTTCTTCACCTTCATCGCACTATTTTCGATCTTGTCTTCCATTTTTCATCATAATCTGGATTACCCAGAATTATCGTGAACTGTGCCTTTAAGTGTCGATGGTATTCCGGAGCAAAATTAGTACCAATTGAGGGGGCGGTGTAAGCGATTGTTCCCAATGCCTCAAAAAGAAAATTTAACTGAGTAGCGGTGACTTACTTGATCATCAAAGAGCAGTCTATATTTTCTGTCATCACCTGCAATCTTGCTCGGCGTGTCTCGCGACATAGGGTTACGTTTCTAAGGATCTGTAAGAAAACCAGATAGTTCGCTTGAAAAATAAGTCGTATATGAATTTTTATTGATTAGATATGGTTTACTAGGTCATAGGGGCTTATAAAGGCATTAAGCATGATTGTATTGAGGTAAGGCTGATTCAACAAAATTTACTGTTCGTCTTACGATACTGCTCTTCAAATGCCTAATGCTTGACTACTTAAGTTTTTCTCGCATTGCGGGAAAAAGCGCGAATTTTCCGCGCGCAGCAGAGCGACGCGTTCAGGTTTTTGGCCAGCAAATGCCATTTCTCTTTGACTCGCCGAGTCGGTGTTGAGTGCTCTTAGTCAGCATGGAAAGTTCGAGCTCTACTCCAAAAATGCAGGTATCTGACTATTAATCCAAAAAACTTAAATTTACCTCAGGTGCAGGCATCCTCCCGTAAAAGCCCATAAAAAGGAAATGCAAAGCCACGATAACCAAGCCACCACCTAACACCATCGCAAAAAGTGGCCGAAAATTGACATGAATTAGTTTGGAAATATTAATTCTAAAAAAGATATTCGTCTCTTGATCTCACTTCAGAGATTCAAAAAGTGGCCGAAAATTGACATGAATTAGTTTGGAAATATTAATTCTAAAAAAGATATTCGTCTCTTGATCTCACTTCAGAGATTCGTCAGACTTTTCATGTTTCACTTTTTCATCCTCCTCTATCTTGGGCTTTGCGATTTTGTAATCTTCCTTTGAAGAATATTCTTCTACAAAATGAAGACGTCTCCTCTCGTATGTCACAAAAAATAGTGTAGAAACGAAGAAAATCCAAAAAAGTCCTTGAGATGACCAATTCCGCTCACGGGATGCGCTCATGTGTTCAACGTCGGTCCAAAAACGTCGTGGTGTTTGAATGCATAGTTGGTCTGGGCAATGTGTTGAGGATGGGAACATTGAACTGGTACATCAGAAAATGTACCAATTAACGCTTTCATAGTTAAAAAGCCTTTTCTAATTTTCCAATAACTCTGCAGGAGTGGGAAGTTGTATTCACCTAATCTGACTGTCACCCCCCCCCCCCCCCC